TTCGATGTGTTTAATTTCTGCATTTTAATACGTTTAGAATTTATTACGGCTTTAAAAACGACAATTTAAAAGTATATAGAAACATATAAAAACAAAGGGGAAATCAGAGCAAGGATAAGAAAAAATAACTTTTAAAAAGCTCTTTGTGAATAACTAGAATCACTGCGTTAATAAGTCTTTACAGAGAAAAATGCATAGAGTGCAGTTTTTAAATGAATGTATGATAAAAGCAGTTTGAAATGAATCTATGATAAAAGCATGATTTTGAGCATAAAAATTCATTAAGAAAATTTCTTATTACATTAATAGTAAGTTAAGCTAAGCCAAGTTTAGCACAAGGTTACATTTTGGCATGCAATAAGGGCCATACTCGCTATCGATTGCAGTGCAGGAATAAGCAAGCGATCTCACTTGTATCAAAGGTACAAGCATTTTTCTTCTTTTAACTGCATGTGATTTTATTTCACGGACATGCGAACAAAACTCAATGGTAGAGCAATGGAATGTAGGTCTCAAGTTCAAAACTTCAATCTCAGATGCTGGGTTGGTGAAACTTATTAAACACAAATTGGGTGATTTACTGATACTGGGAATGTATTTAAGGTCTTTAAAAATATTTCTCTCTTTGTATATATACCGTATATACTCGCGTATCATGCGATTTCTGAAAATCTAATTTTGAAACTAATTTGACTACAAGAAATGGACGTATCGTTTGGTCAACAGCGTAGCCAGGGTTAGCAGTAAACACGCTAATTTTATATCTCGTGTATGTGACCTCCTTAACACGACATACACACATACACACACACACACATATATATATATATATATATATATATATATATATATATATATAGTGAATATTGAAGTCAACACTTAGAGGCGACAGGCGGTTTCATGCTAGACGCAATCGTCAGGCGGCCTGATAATTGCGTCAAGCATGAAACAGCCTGTCGCCTCTAATTGTTGACTTCAATGTTCACTTTTATATTTACACACGCTTTATCTCTGATATTGAGCACTTTATCCCATAAATAAAGCACACCTTAAGACTATATTTCTTTATATATATATATATATAACCGAAACGTTGAAACCAATTTAGCGTAATTGGTTGATCTCCTTTTTTTTTAATTTAAAAGCTCTGCATGCTAAATTTATATTTTTTTATACGTGTATTAATCACTTTTTAATGCAATTGTTTCTTGGTCTAATTCAACTATGAGCAATAACTGTTTTATATCTATCTATCTATCTATATATATATATATATATATATATATATATATATATATATATATATATAAAAGTAAAAGAGACCAAATATCAGATAATTGGGAAGAGCTCTTTGTTATTGATTTTCTTCTTTACACTTAGTATACTAGTGTTACCAACATGTTAATGGTGAGATGAGTCCTTTCCATACAGGCAATATTTGGTATTGATTAACCAAAAAGCTAGTATTAGTTTTCGTTATTTCTCTGAAAACAATTCTTCAGCAAAATAGGTTTCTCAAGTTCACAGTTATCGCTCTTTTTAGTACTTATGAGAGTTTCCTTCCTAACCTTTTGTTTAAGGTCGTGTGGAAAGACAACATCTCGCTGATGCTGTTATTTTCTCTTTGAGTTATATGCGCTATCCTTTTTAATTGTTACTCTTGTTGAAAGTCTTCAATTGATTTGATTTTTGTTACTTTTGTTTATGTGCCACCTTAGAAATATAAGTCCTTCATTTTTATACTGCAGCTACACCTACAAGTGTATAAGTAAACAAACCATAGTACCGGTTTACCACCACAACACTCAAGCTTCTAATTCATGAAAAAAAAAAAGAGAAAAAGATAACATATAGTTTAATATCTAAGTCTGCAATGTTATCGGTCTTGACCTGACATCTCGGTTTCAGTCACTTTCCCACCGCTGTGATGTAGCTTCTCTCTGTCTTTTCTATATATATTTTCATGGCAATTGTTCTAATGAGCTCCCCCCCCCTTGGTACATCAACTGCATGAATTTAAGTGTACTACTAGATTGGCAATAAGGTCTTATCCTTTGATTATAGAAATAGCCAGATGTAACTGTGTTCTATTCTAATAGTTTCTTTTCTCGCACTTCTCGCCGGTGGAACTCTCTTCCGGTTTCTTGTTTCTCTGCCGCCTACAATCTTCAAAAATTGCTGCTGTTCCCAGATTCATCTTTACCCAAGGTGGTAGCACATGTTAAGGTCCCAGCTATGGGCAAATAGTTAACCCCGAAACTGGAGTCAAAACACTATGAAAGTATAGAAATTTTGATAGTAAAAATGCCAGCAATAAATTTTTGTAAAAGAAAATTTTTGTAAAAGAAATACGAAAGAAATGATTCTGTGTAGATTTATTGGCCTTGATATAATTTTACTTGAAATGATGACTAACTAAAGATACAACTTCCCTGATATGTAAACGTGAGCGTTGCCAGATCGTAAGATGCCAATTTCTACCGACATCTTCAAAGTATTTAATGCAGGGTGCTCAAAAATGCAGAGCCTATAGCATTTGATAATTTTTGCTACTATGTTAATCCGGCATTGATATACAAATCTTCACGCACAGTCAGTATCCGGTTATTGGTAAAGGTTTCGCTTAGAACGGCATTCTTTCAGTTTAGTTCATTGTTTAAAGCCAGATTAAGCTATTGCCTCAAGTATCATACCGGTAAAAAAATGAAATTTACGAACCTATCATTTGTTTTATTTCCTTTAATTTTTTATCATCTAAAATAGTTTGTAGTTTTTGTGAAGAAAAGTTTAATAACCTGTATAAATTGAACTTTGGTAAAACAGATTGAGCAGATTCAAATTATAGCAGACACACTGTTGAATCATATTCTTATACAGTCTATGGGGTTTACAACACTTTATTAATGCTATCAAAACGGACATATTAAAATTGTGTATATATATATATATATATATATATATATATATATATATATATCAAAATAAAAAGAAAGAACAATCAGATTTATAATCCACTGTTCTTTATCATTTATTTTAACAACCAGTGTTCCATACACAGTTTAAAAATATGTATTCATCGCGACACAGAAATTAGCATGTTTCAGAAGTAAAAACTAAACTTTAAATTAAACTTAAAATTAAAGTTTTTGTTTCATTCTCAAGCGATGTGGAATAATTTTCGAAAAATAATTATTAAGATTTTTTTTTAAGCTAAACAGTATTATATAGTTTAAGTTGGAAGGGGAAATTTGTAATTCCTTTCCCTCTCCAATTTAAACTATATAATAGGAATTAGCTTAAAAAAATAATTTTTTCGAAAATTATTCAACATCGCTTGAGAATGGAACAAAAACTTTAATTTTAAGTTTAATTTAAAGTTTAGTTTTAAGTTTAATTCAAAGTTTAGTAATTTATAGTAATTCAGTAATTTCTGTGTCGCGATGAATACATATTTTAAAATAATATATATATTGTTTTAAAATATGTATGCATCGCGACACAGAAATATATATATATATATATATATATATATATATATATATATATATATATATATATATATATATATATAACATAGGGCAAAAATGCAAGGATAATAAAATAAATCAGCGTAAAAGGTAGATTGAAACAATAACATCAATAGAGCAGAAAATGACAAGATGGAGGCTAACCGGTTTTTCGATCATCGCTCTTCGGAGACTATCGAGAACAAAAGTGTAAATTGTGCGCACAATTTACACTCTTGTCTTCGATTGGCTCCGAAGAGCGATGATCGAAAAATCGGTTAGCCTTTTTCTTGTTATTTTCTTATTTATTGTTGTTATTCTTCCGATTCATCTCTTTACGCTGATTTATTTTAATATCCTTCCTCTTCACCTTCTCCACTGTTTGTCGTTTTTTTAATGTACAATTTTAATATGTCCGTTTTGATATCATTAAGAATATGTTCTGTTAATTATTGACAAGATACGATATACCTATCGAGTGGATACCAACCTAAAATGAAAGTTATAATTTATGGAGAAAGATAAAAAATTACACAACAAAAAATGGTGACAACTTGGTACAAAGAATGCACAACTCCATTGTACATGGAATTTTTCCAGGAATATTATTTAATATCTATGCCTATTTTTTAAATTCAGGGCCACTTTATAACATTCTACATATCTCGTATTACCTTAATCCAACCCTGTCATTTACGACAAATTATATCTTTGCTATTTACGTCCATGCATCATACAGTATACTATATATATATATATATATATATATATGTGTGTGTGTGTGTGTGTGTGTGTGTATGTATATATATATATATATATATATATATATATATATATATACCTTTTAGGTCATGCCCCACCTAAGCATCTCTAAAATTCTGATGCCTCTCCGTGACATTCTTGTTATTCAAAAAGTGATCTATTCACATGGAGGAAGCCTAAAAGGCCATTAAGTTAACTTTCCTTAAGAACTTGAGACTGTATAGATGCAATTTTATTATCATTTAATTTTAGGATTTTACAATGTTTATAAAAATATTGTGTCATTAATTATATATATATATATATATATATATATATATATATATATATATATATATATATGCATACTACATACATACACACAAATATTTTTATGTATGTAAAGTATATGCAATGTATGTATTAACTCGAGCATACACTCATACTCACACAGAAACACTAAAAAAAATATTCAATGTTAATATCTCATTTTCGAATTGCACCCTCCCCTTAAAAATCAAATGTGGGGCATGCGCTTCAGTTTTGTAACCACGAGCCTAGATCTATAATGTGGCAAGCCCCTTTGGGAAAGTGCGGTAATTTCGCTGAAACTAAAAGAATAGTAACCAATTTTCCAAGATCAATCAAACTTTCAAGTTTCTGAAACGCGTCGAAACTTTGGACAATAGAGACTCCGATGCTCTAACCATTAAGCTGGCAATACAAACATAGGTGTACATACATGACACTCACCTATGATCCATATGAGGGCGTCTATCAGTAGATTTAGAGGAGTCAATCCTAGTGACTCTGTAAGGCGCATCTTCTTCTTGCCCGCAAAACAACTGCACTTAGTCATGGCCGATGTAGGTGATGTGTTGTCAACAGAGCGTTCGCTGCTATCTCCGGCTACTACAATCTGTTTATTTTGAAGAAAACAAATGAATTGTGACCGACGGTCAGCATTTATATATATTCGATAGTGACGTCACGTACAACGAAAGGGTGTGGGAGTCTGAACCAATTAAATTAAGAACCACTTCAGAATGCGTTAGAATTTTTTTAGGCGTATGTGTGTATTGTTTTTATATGTAATGTTTTTTTTTTTTTATATTCCATCCGAGCAGTCAGATTGCAGGATTTCCTTCCAGCAGCCTGTTCCTGTAATCAAAACTCTTTCTCTTTTATCACATTCCGAACTGTTTTGTTTTTGTCTTTTTTGACAAAAAAAAACAAACAAAAAACCCTTTTGAAAACAAAACAACAACAAAAAAAAACCTTTTTGAGAAAATAAAACAGAATACACGGTTGAAAAATATTTTTTGATTTTAAATAGTTTTGGGAACTTTATACGCACAAGTAAATTTGGAACGCTGCCAATTTTTTTTTATTAAACGTTTAACTAGATTTTTAATTAAACGTTTAATTAGATTTTTAATTAAACGTTTAAGTAAATTTTTAATAAAACGTTTAATTAGTTATTAAACTATGTTTGATTAAACGATTAACATTTTTTAAAGTGAGGTGCACCCTGAACAAGGCTCGAAAGCCATTCGAGGTAGATCATTACAGATTAAGAGTCACAGTTTACGGGGAAGATAACGATTAACGTTAGACTTGAACAGGCTACGATTGTAAAGGATCGGGGAAACATCCTCTTGGGAGTCGGTTCCAAAGAGCATTGGTTCGCAGGAAGAAGCTCTTTGAGTAGATCGTACTTCTCACCTATGGAATATGAAGGGAATGTGAGTTGTTCGATACAATGTGCGTAGCATGGCGGGTCTTAACCACGAAGGTTGGAATTGGTCTGAGCACTTTCCATGGATGTAGCGATAGAGTAGTAAAAGGCTTGCTATATCACGTCTGCGATTGAGAGGTTGCAGGTTGGGAAATAATTTCTCATCCACAAGGACGCGGAGACGCTATTGAATTCTATCAAGACTGAAAAGTGAGGACAGGACATCTCCTGCCCAGATATAACAGCAGTACTCCATTTTAGGTTTTACTTAACTTCACATAACGATAAATCTTTTAATAAAATTGAACATAATACATTTTAGAATTGGCCCGCGGCGTAACTAACTTTTTATTGCGATACGGTAGTCAGTTTTTTATACTAAAGTTCATCAAATATAAAGCTCGAGATCCACTCAAATTAGAAAGTTATTGTTAAAAGAGTCATAAGGGATAAGGCGCACCATATGAATAAAAGAGAAAGTGGTAGGACGAGAAGATCATGAGGATAGGGAGGATAGATGATAATTGACGCTTGATTTGAAGAGGTTAAGATTGTAGTTTTCCTGGAAGCATCCATCTTCCACAAAGTAAAAGTTCCCAGGAAAAAGGCTGTCTGAGTAGAACTTTCTCATTACATCTGGAATACAGGGGAAATGAGAGCGATTCGACTACGTGAATATAGCATGGCGTGTCTCAGCTCTAATGGTCCGAACTGCTGGGACTAACGAATCGAGATCATTTGAACATTCGCCATGGAAATAGCAACGGAGGAGCGATAGGATTGCGATGTTGCGTTTGTTGTTGTAGTATGGGAAAACGTTTTCCCCACAATATCAGATAAAAGATTTATCTAGGCTGGAAAGTGAGGACTGAACAACTCTAACCCAGATATGGCAACTATTATAACTTTGAAGTTAACACCCAGTGTTTCATGCTTTTACAAAATCGTTAGGTCATATACATTGTGTTTTTGCTCGACTATTTATATCTACAGGTCAGTGACGCATGTGGGTAGTGTATTGTATTGTTCTAGTGGTTGTTTTGGAAGGGCGGTAACGGTTATGTTTTGAGTTATACTAAGGATATTGGGTGGAAACAATTGTAGATCAGGATGCAGTTTTTTTTGGCTATTTATAGTGTTGTTTGCTAACTTTTTATTGATTATTTTATTGTTGGCTGTTATTATTATGTTTACTTCTGTTTATGTGTACATTCACGGTTTGCTAAATTGTTTATTATTTACTTATTTATTGGTTTGGATTAATTTATTTTGCTTATTTTTGTTTAATTATTTTGTTTTCTATTTATTTTTGTTTATTCTTCGTTTTTAGTTTTCGATTTCTAAGTAACGTAGCAAAAATTCATTTTCGTACCTGCATTTTGAGATGAGTTCTGGTCATTTATTTAGTAATCTGTTGGTCTGGTGAGGTAATTATCGCTATTCTTAAGATCATGAGACAATCGTACCTGTAGAGTCTTGTATCATTTCTATTGATTATTTCATGTAGTTCGTGTAGAAAATATATACCTATGAGTTCGCATGCGAATGCCCCATCAAAACTTCCCATTGTAGCGTCAAAGGCACCGTCTTTCTTTATCCATGAATCTTCATTGTAGTGATTTTTCAGGAGTGTTTAATGATTTTTTATTATTTCTGTTTGTTTTTAATAATCAAGTAGAAGACAATGAACTACTGAAATTTAACTATCGACATAAGTTGACAACACCAAAATACTCTATAGCAAAGAACAAGGAAAATATCTGTTTGATGTAGAAAGTTCGTGTCGGACACCCAGAAAAATATCCTTACAAAAATAAAGATTAGCGCCTATGAATGGGGACGGGTTCGTCTATTTTGTATAAGTGACATTATTCTTAATTTTTGGCACGAGTGACACAGGCCAGATTTTAGCTTACGGGAGACGAGGATAGTGAAATTTGGGCACTGGGAATTGCCATTATCTGCCGTCTTTGTGTAGGTAAAGGATGTCATCCATCATCGTTATCAGGAAAGATTTCTCTATACGTATATATCGAGCGCCGGTTTGCTGACAGTCATTTTTATCCGAGCATGGATTGGACGTTAGAGGGTAGGAGATGTCCCGCATCTTGGTGTGGGCCCGGAATTGCCAAAATCGTCGCTAAAGAGCAGACACGCAATTTCCGGGTTGGTATGAAAACACTGACACACGCATGGCGGAATTGAGAAACTTCGACGAGAAGGTCATTCCCTGAGTGATTATGATTATAAATCTTCTATGACAGAAGAAGTGAGAAACGTCGACGAGAGGGTCATTCCCTAGATGATTATGATTATAAATCTTCTATGACAGAAGAAGTGAAAAACGTCGACGAGAGGGTCATTCCCTGAGTGATTATGATTATAAAACTTCTATGAGAGAAGAATTGAGAAACTTCGACGAGAAAGTCATTCCCTGGGTGATTATGATTATAAATCTTCTATGACAGAAGAATTGAGAAACGTCGACGAGAGGGTCATTCCCTGGGTGATTATGATTATAAATCTTCTATGACAGAAGAATTGAGAAACGTCGACGAGAGGGCTATAACCTGAGTGATTATGACTGGGCATCACTTTAATGGGTGCAGCCAGAATCTCCAAATCACCACTCCTGAGGTATAGAATTTTGATTTACAGTAACTAATAGACTTTTTTCAACCATTTTTCTTTATATTCAATGAACCTTTTTCCAGTCTGAGTTCCGACGATCGCCCGGACGAAATAGACAGAAGGTTACCACGGCTATGGAAAGTGTTGCGTAATCTTCAGCTGGAATTGCGTAATCTTCGACACGCTTGTGCAGTTCTTCCCATAGTACACAACGTATATAAAAGGTTCGCACTAGACTTCCCTGTCAATTTCATTGTCGTAAGAGTTTGTTTTGTTTTGTTTTACGGCATATCAACTTCAATGGGTCATTTAATGCCGATAACTTTTTTTTCCTGGTAATATTTTTGTTTTGTGAAAAATCCATTTCTGTTAATATTTTTTTCTCAAAAATGTATAGCTGGTAATATTATTTTTTCAAAAACGTATAGCTGGTAATATTATTTTTTTTTCAAAAACGTATAGCTGATAGTATTATTTTTTTTCAAAAACGCACAGGTGGCAACATTATTTTTTCAAAAACGGATTATCAGAGGCCTTGCTGTTGGACGTAGTTTATCGTCTTACCCAGGACCCGGATGTAGTTTATTGTTTTACCGAGGACGCGGATGTAGTTTATCGTCATACCCAGAACGCGAATGTAATCTGAATGTTAACTATTTGCCCATAGCTAGGACCCTAACAGGTGCTACCACCCCGTGTCAGGGTGGACCTGGGAACACCAGCAATTAAGAGGTGGTTCCACGCTCCTCAAAACCTCCTGATCAGAGGCCTTGCTGTTGGACGTAGTTTATCGTCTTACCCAGAACGTGGATGCAGTTTATCGTCATACCCAGGATGCCGTAAGATTTTGGGAAACTCGAAGCAACCCTATCAAGATGACTCACTGAAGAAGGAAAAAAAAGTCGATTGACTCTAAGGTCGGTATTACACAACCAACTATCGACTTACGAACGGAAGAAAAGAAAAAAAAAAGGGTCTATGTTTTTGTTGCCGTGTAACCAGGATAAGACTCCATCTAGTCGATCCGGGACGCAACCAAGGACACCGAAAAAGTACTCAACCAGAAAAACAGGGCTCAAGACAGGAGGACCACTAAGAGTCTTTCGTTCGATTATGTTCGAACGGAAAAAGAGAAAAGACCCTCTCAGCAAATATAACAGCAGAGAAGAACAACCACGAATAAGATCAGCAAAAATAACGTCAGAGAACAGCCACGAATAAGACGAAACAAGCCGATAAGGTAGGTTGAAAATTCATTTTCATCTGCTCCTTTTCTTTGTTTGGTCGTGTATCACTGAGGGTTCTCTTTGGATTGATTTTGATTTCCTAATTTTTCTGTTCGATCGGTTAAGTTCGATGAAGTGATTAGAATAGAAACAAAAATATTCTGTCGAAAAAAAAACAAAAAAAAAAAACGATTTCGATTAGAGACGATTACGATTAAAAATCTCCTA